AACAGCCCTGCCTGTGGCTGGGGCTGGGGTGCAGTGCCTGACCATGGGTGTGACCACATATAACAAATATTTTGGACTGCATACTGAGGCTACCCAAAATGATCCCTGGAAAGCCATTATGGGAAAGTAGGCTTGATTCCCACCTCGAGACCTGGGCATTGGAAACATTGCTCAATAATCACACCAAAAGTAATAGCAAGCTGGACTTGCGCTATAAGAAGTGCTATGAGAAGGCAGGGTGTGGTGGCCCACGCCTATTATTCTGGTGGCTCAGGAGACTGAGGCAGGTGGATCCCAAGTTCAAAGCCAGTCTCAGCAACTTAGAGAGGTCCTAAGCAACTCAGCAAGACCCTGTCTCTAAATAAAATATTAAAAAGGGCTGGGGCTGGGGCTCAGTGGCTAAGTGCCCCTGGGCTTAATCCTCAGTACCAAAAACAGTACTGTAAGAGGAGACCTGGCCCAGTCTGGGGGATCATGGATGAGTATAGTTGGGGGGAAGAGGCAGACGGCAAAGGGGAAATTGTTCTAGAAGCCACCCAAAAAGACACTGACCAATTAAGAGCCCAGAATGGTGAGCCAGAAACTAGTATTTATCTTTTGGCCACTGGATTTTGGCAGTATTTGTTGGGGAATTCCTGAGAGAGGGGTCAGTAGGGACAAAAGTTGAGGGCAGTGGTTATTTACCAACTTAATATCTTAATATTTTAATAACCAGTGCAGCCACTCTGGCGCCACTTGTAGGCATGTCAGCTCTCAATAGTGGCTTTCCTGCTGCCCAGATGAGGTTGGGCTCCTTAATAACTGTCCCTGTTGACCTGACATGGCAGGCCCTGCCCCCCTCAGCCCCTCCCCTCCTTCCCTGCAGATTGCTCTCTGCCACTTCTTCTTCAACATCTCGGGCATCCTGCTGTGGTACCCGCTGCCCTGCACGCGCCTGCCCATCCGCATGGCCAAGGCTCTGGGCAAACGCACCGCCAAGTACCGATGGTTCGCTGTCCTTTATCTCCTCGTGTGCTTCCTGCTGCTGCCCTCGCTGGTGTTTGGCATCTCCATGGCAGGTTGGCAGGCCATGGTAGGTGTGGGTGCACCTTTTGGGGCCCTGCTGGCCTTTGTGGCATTCATCAATATACTGCAGACTCGAAGTCCTGGACGCCTGCCCAAGTGGCTGCAGACGTGGGACTTCTTGCCCCGCTGGATGCACTCCCTGCAGCCCCTGGACCGCCTCATCACCCGTGCCACCTTGTGCTATGCCAGGCCTGAGCCCCGCTCACCCCAGCTGCCTGCCAGGGTCTTCCTGGAGGAACTGCCCCCTGCCACACCCTCCCCCCGCCTTGCACTACCTGCTCACCACAGTGCCACCCGCCTCTAGGCTGCAGGACCAGACTACTTCCTGGAATAGGGAAAGGCCTGTGAAAGAACACAGCGTGGAAGGGCAAAGGTGTGTGTGAGTGTGAGTGCGTGTGTGTGTGCGTGCACGCATGCATGTGGTACATGCCACCTTGTGTGTGTGCCTGTCCTTATGCTGGTCCATCAAGGTCTGGGCTTGTGACTGAGAGGCAGTGTTCATGTGCACGTGTGTTTGGGGTCTGTGTCTATGTGTATAGGTGGAGAAGCCTGTATTTGTGTACACGTGTATGATCCCATGCATGTGCAAAGACATACCAGTGGGAAGCTGTGTGCAGGTTCCAGGGGATCTGGGTATGATTTTGAGTCCTTGGCATGTGTGCATGGAGGCCTGCACTTGTGTCCCTGTGTACACAAGACTGGTTACCATGGACAGGAGTAAGGGTGGCTATGAATGGGTGACTGTGTGGCTGTTTGCTTGTGCTCATTTGTGGGTGCCTGAGTCACTGACTGAATTTCAGCCCCTCTGTGCCACCTTCTTTCCCCCACGACACCATTCTCCTCATCCCCATCCAGGGCTTCAGCACCACCACTATAATCCTTTCCCACCCCTGCCACATGAAAAAGAGAAAGGAATTAAAATTTCATTATGCATTTGGAAGTCTTTTTTTTTTTAATGGACACAATACCTTTATTTTTATGTGGTGTTGAGGATCAAACCCAGTGCCTCACCAGTGCCTTACACATACTAGGCAAGCACTCTACCATTGAGCCACGTACCCAGCCCTGTTTTGTATTTTGAGACAGGGTCTCACTGAGTTGCTTAGCACCTTGCTGTTCCTGAGGCTGGCTTTGAACTTGCCATCTCCTGCCTGAGCTTCCCGAGTTGCTTAGGATCACAAGTGTGTAATACCACACCCAGCGGTGGACCCTCTTTTGAGGCATAGTAGGGAGATTCAGGTGCCTAGTAGCTCCAGAACTGCTCTCAAGCAACCACACCCATCCTGTCACCCATTCACAACATTTGCTGGTGTTCCACCAAGTGGAAGGGGCAGAAGTACAGCCTGGACCTCTGTATCCACAGGTTTTGCATCTGCTGATTCAGCCCACTGTGGATTGGAAAATATTCTTTAATTACATCTGTACTGATCTTATATATATATATATATATATTTCTTTACCCTTATCCCTTAAAAACATAGTATAGTAGCCAGGCATGGTGGTTCATGACTATAATCCCAGCAACTCCAGAGGCTGAGCAGGAGGATTGCAAGTTTGAGGCCAGGCTCAGCAACATAGAGAGAACCTCAGCAACTTAGCAAGACTGTCAAAAAAAAAAAAAAAAAGAAAAAAGAAAAAGAAAAAGGATTAGCCAGACATGGTAGCACATGCTTGTAATCCCAGCAATTCTGGAGGCTGAGGTAGGAGGATTGCAAGTTGAAAGCCAGCCTCAGCAATTTAGTGAGGCCCTAGGCAACTCAGTGTAACCCTGTCTCTAAATAAAATACAAAAAAGAGCTGGGGATGAGGCTTATTGGTTAAGTGCCCCTGGGTTCAATCCCCAGTACCAAAAGTTAATAAAAATTTTTAAAAGGACTAGGAATGTATCTCGGGGTAAGGTGCCCCTGGATTCAATTCCCAGTACAAAAAAAAAAAAAAAAAAGAAAAGAAAAAAAGCCAGTATAGCAACTATTTCCATAGCATTTAAATTGTATCATACAGTACAAGTCATCTAGAATGACTTGAAGTACACAAAATACTATGTCATTTATGTAAGGGACTTGAGCATCTGAAGATGTTATTACCTACGGAGGTTCAGGAACCAATCCCCAAGGATACTGAGGGACTACTGTACACTAACCTCAAGGCTGAAATTTTAAAACAACAGGCCCTAGCTGATGTGTGCCTGGGGAGAGGTCTCCACATAATAATGGGGACTCCTTTTACTGTTTGTCCTGCCTAGATGATTTGGTTTCTGTAGGAAAAAATGAATGTAAGGCCTGAGGCAGAGAAGCCCTCTCCTTGGACTCCTTCTCAACTGTGGGGTCCTCCCCAGGATCTTGGAAGGCGCCTAAAAGCAGCAGTCAGGTAGAGGCCTCTGCAAGGCATCCATGAATGGTAGCAGACTGGGCAGCCTCTAGATTTATAACCCCAACCCCACTAGGAATTGTTTTGCAAGGATCTTCCCATAAACCGGTTTCTGTAGTTGCAAATCCCCATGAGAACCAGAGGATGAGCCCACGACAACCATTCAGAGTTTATTCTGGTCCCGCTACCACCTGGGGCGGCCTGGCTGTTGTGCTAAGCGCCCTGCGATCACAGCCCGCGGATCAGCTCGTGCACAGTCTTGTTGAGGATGCCACCGTGCACGCCGCGTCTGCCCATCAGCACGAGGAGCGCGCGCGGCGTGTGGCCCACGCAAATGGCGCGCGTGTCCAGCCCCTTGGTGCGCGCGTCCAGCACGCCGTCTCCCTCTGCCAGCAGATAGTCGCGGATGACGCAGCAGCGGCGGCCGGCCAAACTCAGGCCCGCCTGCAGGAAGGCCTGCCGGTCGGGCCCAACAAGCACGCCCACCTCCTGCGGCGAGATGGCAGCCAGCAGGCCCCCGGGTCGCGATGCCCACACGCAGCGATTGTCTGAGTGGCCCACGATGGCTACGTCGTCGATGCGCTGGTCTCGCAGCACTGCACTGATGTAGCCCTTCCAGTCACCCATCCTGCTCAGTGCGTCCCTCCGTCTCGCGCTTGGGAGGGATGTCCTGCTGTGCCGAGGGCTAGGACGCCTGCGGCGCTATGACGAAAGCGGGGGCGGAGCCGTGGCAGGAGACAACGCCACGTGTGGCATGAGGCGACGTCACAGAGAGTCTATCTAGGCTAGAGAATGTGGGGGCGTTCGCGTATTACACGAGTTGAAGTTCTAAAGTTAGCTTATAGGATGGAATCCAGGACTCAAGAGACCCTCGAAAAACCAACTTAAATGGCCCACTTAAAAGATGGGTTTAAGAACAAAAAGAAAGATGCATGTCTGGACCGGACTTCTCAGCCTGTAAGGGAAACATTCGATCCCTAGATGGCGTTCTCAAGATTCAGAGAACACCCAAAACCCTGGAAGGCTGCGGGATTGCTGGGTCCCACCCTGGAGTTTCTAGTATAGAATGTAGCCTAAGAACGTCCTTGTCTAATAAATTCCTTGGCGAGGCTGCTGCCCTGGTGAGAGTTTGGGTGGGTATTCCAAGTTCCCAGGGCTGGGGTCCACACCAGTGTTTTAATATTAAGCATTTCTAACCATTGTTCTTAATCTCAGCTGAACGTGAAATCATCTGAGTTTTAAAAACATACCACTACTCATCCCATTCCTAGAGATACAGATTTAATTGGTCTCAGGTGGATCTTGAGCATAGTAGTTAGGCTCAAAATTCCCCAGATGATCCCGATGTGAGTAGTCAAAGCTGAGAACAGTTGTTCTGTAAGCTTAAAAGTTTCAGTACCTTATGAGGAATAGCAGTCACCTTGCATAGGGATTGGTACGCGGTAAACATGACTTGGACAAGAATCTCAAATCTCTCATGTTAAGATCTCACAGATCCTGTTCTGTGAGGGCAGGGGAGGAGCTGTGTGCAGGTTTATTCTCTTGACATTTCCAAAGGCGACCCCCAAGGGCATTTTCAAAGCATTTTATTGAGTTTCTGTGCCCCTGGCACCTGGCTGGTGGCACTGGGAGGAATGTGGCACAATCTTTAGTCAGTGTTCATTACCCAGCCACCCTCCCACTAGGAGGGAAAGACGAATCCCTGGGTAGTTAGGAAACTATGTGCTCCTGGATCCAATCCACGTAGCTGGCCACGTCGGTGTAAACGCCGGGCTTGTTGCGGTCGCCACATCCGGAGCCCCAGCTGATGACGCCTCTCAAGGTGAGCCGGTTCTCTGCAGCCTGGTCCTCACACACCAGAGGGCCCCCGGAATCACCCTGTGTCGGGAACACGCAGTTCAGTGCCTTGGCCTTGAGCTTGACTGGCCGGGGAAGGCACCAGCCAGGCCTCAGGACTCACCTGGCACGCGTCTGTGCCACCCTCGAGGAAGCCAGCGCAGAGCATTCCAGGGAGGATAGCATCCCCGTGCACTTCAGAAGCGGAGCAGTGCTCCTGAGAGATGAAAGGCACCTGCGCCTCCTGCAGGAAGGTGGAATAATCCTCCGCCCCTGAAAACCCAGAGCAGATTTTCTTAGAGCACTGGCCTGCACCAGGCTTCTGCCCCCACCGTTACCCTTCCTCCCTCACAGCAAGCCCGAGGGGGAAGGAAATGCCTCAATTTCTCAGGCAAGGAAACTGAGGCCCAGAGAGGAGCTGGGAATTGAATGGGCGGGGCCGAATCAGGAACACCACCTGTCCCTCCCATCCAGTATCTCAGAACTTGGCTATCCAAGTAGTTTGCTCGCTGCTCCAAAGCTGGGACGGTATCCTAGTAAGTCCTTGCAGCCCAGCACCACCCAGAGGGAACCAGGAGAAAGTCGATTCTCCCTGTCTCCCCAAGAGATGTGGGGACCTCAACAGTGAATCCCAAACTCTGGGAAGAGCGGACTACAGGGACAAGGACCCTGCACGCTTTCACAGCCCGTCAGGTCTGTGCTTCTTCTGCCACAGTTGAGGGCTTCTCTGGCTTATCCCGGTGTCCAAAGCTTTCACGCTCGCCCCCAGGTGTTGTACGTACCCTCGTACTGGTGGCCCCAGCCCGCCACTTGGCAAAGCATGTCCTCGGGCTCGGAGGTTTGGGCAGTGCCGCTGGGTAGGCACACTGGCTGAACGTAAGGTGAGAGACGCGCGCAGCTGCCGTCCGCGCTCTCCTGAAGGCGCAGCAGAGCTAACCCGGTCGGCAAGAACGTTAGTTAGGAGGAGGCCCTGGGACCTGAGACCTTCCCACATTTTGTCCCCAACCCCGCAGCAGCGCCCCCACGCACCCAAGTCGTGCTGATAGGTGTTGGACGAGAAAGCCTCGTGGAGGCGGTAGGAGCGCACGCCCAGCGTCTGGCATTGCTTACAGGTCTGGTTATGGAGTTCCTGGCCGAGCACTACCGTCAGGTCCTCCGGCGCCGGCCTGCGGGAGGGCAGTGGGGGAGAGGCATAGTGCTCACAGCCGGCCACAGGCGTGCTGGGGGAGCATCCTGCTCTGGAACCTTTTCCTCGATTTCAGCTCCCTTCAAGGGAGCTCCAGAGGAGCGGAGAAAATAGGGTACAGGTTCAGGCGTGGCGCAGAAGCTGGGGTCAGGATAAAGGAGCGGGCTAGGGTTCCCGGAGGGGCGCTGGGCGGGCGGGTACTCGCCGGTTCTGCAGGCAGTGAGCCGCGGTCAGCACCCAGCAGGGGGCGATGAGGCTGCCGGCGCAGAAACTGTCGCCCCAGTACAACGCTGCGATGTAGGGATGTGCCCCGGGCAGCGCCACTAGTCCGCCCACAACTCGACTCAGCGGGGACAGGCTCTTCCGGAGCCGCTGTCCGCAGCTGGGAGGGCTGGTCCTAGACAGGCGAGTTGGCTGCTTCGAGGGGGCTGTGGGAAGAGCCCAGGCTGAGGACTGGGAGACCCATGGCCGGTTGGCGGAATCTAGCTGGCCCTGTGGCCTCTTTGCTCGGACTTCTTTGCTGTTTCTAACTTAACTACCTGGGGTCAGGGAATGAGGCGGGGACTGGGTCGTGGGCTGAGGCTTTTGCAGTGCTGAAGGCTGGGGCATGGGCAGGTCCTGACGCCCAAGGGCGTCCATGAGTGGAGGTGCTGCCTGGATTGTGGTCCAGCACTGTGCCAAGTCGCAATACTCCCAGCTCAGCCGGTCACCTTTCCAGACAAAGCACCACGGGCGGGTATCATTATCCGGGTTCCTGCAATCTCAAGAGAGGGCATTGTTAGAGAGTGGGGGAGCTCCCCAGGGCCCTATGCTGGAAGGGGTTGCCCTTCCCCGCCCCATCCAGTCAGTGCACCGGCAGAAGGTGTGGTGACCCAGTCCCCGGCTTAGTGCTTGCTCCGCAGTCACGTTCCTGTAGGTGGCCTCGGAGTCCCACCGCTGACAAGTTGCACCAGAGAGAGTGGTCCTGGCCTTGCCACGGTAGCTAAGCCCACGGTCATGGTAGCAGTTTGCCTCAACATCTAGGGAGTGAAGGGGCTTCCTGAAGCTAGGGGAAGGATCTTGTCCACTTTTCCATTCTCCTCTGCCCTTCTCTGGCATGCCCTTCCCACATGGGGGCTGACTTCCTGCTTGCCTTGAGCCCTGCACTCACCCAAGTCACAGAAGGGTCCGGTATAGCCCACTGGGCAATGGCACAGGCTTTGTCCTTCGGCCTCCAGGCAGCGGCCCCCATTGAGGCATAGGTTGGTGTGGCAGGCTGGGGGAAGGAGCAAACTGAGCCTCCCCTAGGCACACCACCCAGCCTCCCACCAGTCTTTTGATCAGCCCTCCTCCACAGTCAGCTCCCAATCAATCCTCTTACCATGGCTGGCCAGTGGCTTGCAGTGAGCATCAGGACCTTTGCAGTGGCATTTGGCCACACCTGCTGGCCCAGGTCTAAGCCATATCTCATTCTCATGGAAGAACCGGAGAAGCTGAGGCTCAAAGCACTTCTCTGGGGACAAAAGGGCTAGGTCTCCAGAGAGGCTGGGATCATGACAAGTCTCCAGGAGACCTCTTCAGCAGGCCTGGGGCTGCCTCTGTTCCTCAGTGTCCCCTCCCCTGGCAGACAGCACCTCCTTACCTTTCTGGCAGTGCTTCCCAGTGAGGTGTTCCGGACAGAGGCAGTGTGGTCCATTTGGCATATTCACACATGTCCCTCCTTTGTGGCAGGGGCTGTGTTTGCTGCAGTGGTCTGAGAGATGGAATGGGGAGCCCAACTCACACAGGTGGGGGCCAAGTCCCTACCTGAACCTATTTGTCATAGGTCATTGAGACTCCAATTTTCCAAGCCTTAGTTTATTCATTTGCAAAATGAGGCTATTCCTTCCCAGAACTCTCCCTCTGAGCTTCTGAGGGGTATTGTTGAGGGAGAAGAGGGACTAGGCCCAGAATCCCAGGCATGTGGGATCTGATGATAGCCAGGAGAGGAATTAGGGGGATGTAGAGGGTCCTGGGCCACCCAGAGTTTGTGTGCAGTACCTTTCACTTTCTTGGGCTCCAGGCAGTGTGCCCATTGCTGGTCCTGATCAAAGTTTGGGGTGGTAGCACACCTGCAGAAACACAGGCTCTCCTGCTTTGCCCTGGAGGCTAGCCCCACCCCACCCCTAGCTTCCTCTCTCCAAGCAGGGTTTCTTGGACAGAACAAGGGGCAAATTCCATGGATCCCAGACCCCTGCTCCAACCCCCGTTGGGGAACCTTACCAGGGTCTGGGGCCTGGCCAGCCTTTGTGGATACATTTGTGGTACAACTGCCGATGGTACTGGAAGGGGAAGTGGCAGGGCTCCCCAGTGACAGTAAGAACTGTAGGAATAACACACTTCCTGAGAACTTCCCCTGTGCCCAGTTGCCCAGACTCCACCTCACGGGGTCCAACTGGAAAATATCATTGTGTGCTCAGGACAGCATTCTGCTTAAGAAGCTGGATTCTAGAGTTAGATAGCTGGAACAGATTCCTAACTTCACCACCTACTAGCTGTGGGAACTTGAGCAATCCTAGAAGAGTGCCTGCCACAAAATTAGCACTTAATAAATATTTGTTGAGCATCAAAGCCACTTAACCATTTTGAGCTTTTGGTTTTCCCATCTGTAAAATGGCAAAGATAATAGTATATAGTTGATCCTCCTTATTCACTGATTCCATATTTGCAAATCTGCCTACTTGCCAAAATTTATTTGTAACCCTCAAATCAATACTTGCGATTCAGGCTGGGAGTGTAGCTCAGTGGTGAAGCATTTGCTCAGGGTCCTTGGTTCAATCTCCAACAACACATACACACACACACACACACACACACACACACAAGATGGTTGATTGTGGGCATGCCCAGAGCAGAGACAAATTTGCGCATTCCCAGCTGAGGTCCAATGAGGCGATATTCAGCTCTCTTTCAGCTCTTATACTATTAACAAGTGTCCTTTTCATCGTATGTTTAGTACAGTGTTTTCTACATTGTGCTTTTTTGTGGGTGATTTTATCACTGGAAATACCCCCCACACACACACACACAAACCTATGCTGAAGTGCTGTCTATTGTTTCAAAGTGCGAGAAGGCTTCAGTGTATGTTAGGGAGTAAATGTGTGTCAGAGAAAGATTTGTTTGGGCATGAGTGATAGTGCTGTTGGCTGTGAGGTCACTGCTAGTGAGCCAACAGCATATACTTTGAATAAGATGTCTTTTGTTGCTAGGCGAGGTGGTGCATGCCTGTAATCCCAGCCTGGGCAACTTAGCAAGACTCCAGAAGATGAAGCAGGAGGATCACAGGTTCAAAGCCAGCCTCAGCAACTTAGCAAGAGCCTAAGTAACTCTGTGAGACCCTGCCTCTAAATAAAAATATAAAATAGGGCTGGGGATGTGGCTCAGTAGTCGAGTGCCCTTGAGTTCAATCCCTGGAACCAAAAATAAAAATAAAAGAAGATGTCTTTTATTGAGGTTAATGAGAATGTTGTAACCAGAGGCTACAGGAATCTAACTAACAGTATTTTTGACTTTGTGCCTGGCCCATAGTATGTTCTCAGTAAACATTTTCTGCCATTTGGTTGTCAAAGAGTGTTGCTGAATGCCAAACCAGGGCCTGGATGATAAAGGGAGGGAGAGGGATCTGAGCTGCATCTTTAAGATGTAAATGGGATGGACAGAGAGGAGGCAGACCCTAGGTAGGTAATTAGACCAAGACTGGGCACTAAGGTTGGTTCTGGCAAGAGGAGAGAGAGCAGGCTGTGGGATGGGGAGAGGAGGCTGCTGAAGTCCAGGGTTGCATTGTGCTAGGCTTCGCCATCATGCTCCAGGGCTTGGGCTTGACCCCACCTGGCCAGGCTCACCAGAGTAGGATCCAACTAGTTCACAGACCCCAGAACGTTGTCTGCTCTAGGGAAATATTTAGTGCCTGGTCAAGCTCAGTGGCACATGCCTGTAATCACAGCTGTTATGGAGGCTGAGGCAAGATTACAAGTTCAAGGCCAGCCTGGGCAACTTAGCAAGACCCTATCCCAAAATAAAAAACAAAAAGGGCAGAGGATGTAGCTCAGTGACGAGTGCCTCTGAATTCAGTCCCTGGTAGGAATCTAATCTCTCTCTTTTTTCACATGCACATGCGCGTGCACACACACACACACACACACACAATTAGTGCCTGGAAGAATGAAGGTAATGGGAAATTGGCAGGATTGGAAGAAGGGGAGATGGCTGGCACCCCTCTTCTAAGTGTGAGCTTGACAATAAGAGCTAATTTTTTTTCCAATGCTGGGCTAGAAGATGAAGACTTGCAAGACTCCAGAAGATGAAGCAGGAGGATCACAGGTTCAAAGCCAGCCTCAGCAACTTAGCAAGAGCCTAAGTGACTCTGTGAGAGTTATGCTAGGCAAGCACTCGACCACAGCGCTACATTCCCAGTCAAAGAGCTAAGTCTAAAAATAAATAAATAAATAAATAAATAATTATATTTTTAAAAATACTTTTATTGGAGAATTACTAAGAGCTAAAATTTTTTAAGTATTTGCCATGCATCAGGCTCTGGGTTGAGTACCTTACAGGGGTCAACAACTCATTTCTCATTTTCAAAAACCCTGAGAGACTGGGCACGGTGGCTCATGCCTGTAATCCCAGAGGCTTGGGAGGCTGAGACAGGAGGATCGCAAGTTCAAAGCCAGCCTTAGCAACAGCAAGGTGCTAAGCAACTCAGTGAAACCCTGCCTCTAAATAAAATACAAAATAGAACTGGGGATGTGGCTTAGGGGTTGAGTGCCCCTGAGTTCAATCCCCAGTACCAAAACAAAAACAAACAAACCCTGAGAGTTTCACTATTAATAGACCTATTTTATACATGGGGAAACTGAAGCACAGAGAGGTCAAGTCACTCACCCAGAGTTGCACAGCTCACAAATGATAAACCTGGGATTCAGAGATTGGTATCCAGAACCCTGCTCTGGATCCCTCTTTGCCTATTAAGGTCCCTGGCCTCTGTGTGATAGACAGATGCCAAAGACATGTGTTGAAAGAAGGAAAAGAAAGAGGGAAGATAGGGAAAATGAGGGAGACTGGCAGGAGCCCAGGAGTAATGGCATAACAGCAGACCCCTGAAGCCCCTGCTGGGATCCAAGCTCAAGATGGGACACTCAGATACAGCCTGTTCTCAGGGAACACATAGCTCACTATCATTCTGGGTCCCTGGCACCCATGGACCCAAGACCTGGCATACAGTAGGCACTCAGGTCCAAATGTGAGCCACAACTACCCAAGGCTCAGGATCCCTCCCCTTGCTCCAAGGACCTGACACTGCCCCTAGATTGTGCATGCCCCCACCATGCTCACCCCAACCAAGTGTGTGTTCTGAGGGGCAGCCAGGCCACTTACCTACTGTGGGCTCATCGGTTCCTTGCTTATGCACCCTGTGAGCTTTCCAAGGTGGGATCTACAGGGGAGAAAAGGACTCTAGGAATTTGCCTAGAAATTCATAGCCTGCCCCTGAGCCTATGCCAGCCCCCCGCCTGCTCTCACAGCCTGGAAAACAGAGATTTCACCACAAGATTTGGACCCTCCTTCCTCCTCCCATTGTCTCCTCAAAGACCTCTCCCCTACAGAAATGGAGGCCGTGCTCACATATCTACTCACTCTGGTTATCTATCTCCTCTGCCTGGGCCTTCTGAGCTGGACTCACCTTCCCACATAGGCCTCCCTGTCTCCTGGACCAAAAGGTCATGGGTAGAGGCCAAGGCTGTGATAGGGACCACCCCCCAGGGCCATCATTACCCAATCCTGGTTCCCACACCCCTTACCGAAAGCACTGGCTCCAGGCTCACCAGCAGGGACCCCAGGAGCAGCAGAGCCCTCATGGCGTCTGTCCCTTGATCCAGCTGACTACCCAGGAGTCCGGATCAATGGGGTTGGGCAAAGGTCTCTGAGGCCTGGGAAGTAGGGACTGGGTGAGCTGCCCTCCTGGGCCTGGTGGGGCACCTAGTGTTTGTGTAAAGTCATGCAGAGCATCTTCCTTGGTAGGCTCCTGAGGGAGGGGTTTGGGAGTTGGTGGATGAAGGTAGAATAGTAAAGGGCAGGGCTCCCTGGTCTCTCTCTCTCTCTCTTTCTCTCTCTCTCTCTCTCTTTCTCTCTCTCTCTCTCTCTCTCTCTCTCTCTCTCTCTCTCTCTCTCTCTCTCGGACAGTGGGACTGGAAGTAGGAATAGAGATATACTTGTATTTCAGGTCCTACTGAGGATGAGGGGATTAAGGTGGTCAAAAAGAAGTCCCCAACTTCAGGAATGTTAAGAATCCATCATGAAGTATATTAGTTTTCTATTGCTGCATAACAAATGATCACAAACTTAGAAGTCCTGCATAAGACCCATTTATTGCTTCACAAATCTGTAGGTAATAATTAGGTACTGTGTGATTAGGTGTTATGCTCAGAGTAACACAAGGCTGAGATTAAGGCTGAATTCTCTGGAGGCTGCAGGGGAAGATTCAGTTCCAGGCTCATTCAGGTTGTTGTCAGAATTCAATTCCTTGTGGTTGTGGGACTGAGGGCCCTGCTTCCTTGTAAGCTGTCAACTAGGGGCCACTTGGGCTCTTAGAAGCCACCTGCATTTCTGATCATGTTGTTCTCAAAACTCTCTTAGTTTGAATCTTTCACATTTTAAATCTCCTTTGCCAGGAAGAAAAACCTTGTCCCTTCTAAGGGCTTGCCTGATTTGGCCAGGCCCACCAAGGATAATCTTCCCATTTTAAGGTCAACTGATTTGGGATCTTAATTACATATGCAAAATTCTTTTACAGAGAGATGGATATGTGACTTAGTGGTAGAGCACTTGCCTAGCATGTGTGAGACCCTACCTAGGTTCAATCCCCAGTACCACAAAAATTATTTTATAGAAGAACCTAGATCATTGTTTAATTGGAAGAATAACTGGAAGAAAGGGCACATACAACTGTGCACAGTGGTGCATGCCTGTAATCCCAGATACTGCAGATGCTGAGACTGGAGAATCACAAGTTCAAGGCCGGCCAGGGCAACTTAGCAAGACCCTTTCTCAAAATGTAAGAAGTTATGGGGTAGAGCACCTGCCTAGCATGTAAGGCCCTGGGTTTAATCCCCAGTCTGGAAAAAAAAAAGTACACATACAATGGAGTTTGAGATCTTGGGCTCATCTTAGAATTAATTCCACAATCCCATGGAAAAACTGCTAAACTAGGGGACACTAAATTGTGCAATCAGAACACAGAGAGGGAGATGGGGTATATTTGTGCTGTTTTTCCTGCCCAGAATTCTTGTGGTTAGTAATGTCACTTTAATTTTTCTTTAAGGAACAATCCCTTCCTCACTTCTTCCATGTCATTCTAGTACTGCCAACTTTACCCTTAGTTCTAGGACTGGGAGGTGTGATCTGAGTCTGCCCAACCAGAGTATGATATCTTTAGAATGCAGCAATTGATTCAGAGGTAAGTATATGTACAAGTTAGGCCAATCAGGGTCCGCTTTGAAACTTTTACCAGAACCTTGGGGAAAGAGATACTTTCTTTCCACTGGGGTTGTTAAACAGGTTAGAATGTGGGCCTGGTGACATTGATGGCCATCTTTGTCATACTTAAGGATGGCCTGTCTGAGACATAGGAAAAGCAAAGCAAATGGAGAAGGAAGGACAGAGGAATGCCATTAACAGGCAGCCTGCAAGATAGTCCTCACCTCCTGGGATTCATGCCCTTTTATAGTCTCTTTCCACATTGAATCAGAGGCATATTGTGTGTCCAGTGGAATTGACTTCTAAGCCCAGGTCATAAAAGTTATTTCAGTTTTTTCCTTGGTCTTTGGACCACTCACTCTGGGCTCTGCCATGTTGTGAGGACACTCAAGCAGCCCTGCAGAGTCACCTATGCATGTAGGGAGAAAGTAAAGTCTTCTGCCAGCTACTAGCACCAATTTGACAGTCATGTGAACAAAGCACCTCAAAAATAGGTACAGCTCTGATTGATTTCTAGCCTGCAATCTCATGAGAGAGCTGGTATTAGCCAGCTTTACGTTACCGTAATTAAATACCTAAGATAGTTTAAGTTATAAAGTAAAGGGTTCATAGTATCGGAGGCTGAAAGTCCAAACCGCATGGCACAGCTTATCGTGAGGGCTGCCCCTCAGCTGCATCACCTTACAGTGAATTGCAATGTCAGGAGTGTGTATGGGACCAAGTGATTACATCTTGAAACAGGAGGCCAGAGAGATGGGAGAGGGGCCAGGTTTGCCACTAATGACCCTCTTGTGGGAACCAACCAGGATCCCACATGAAATACCTTAATCCCTCCAAACAGCAATGCCTTCAATGAAGGACATCCAACTAGGTCCCACCTCCCAAAGGGCCACACCATATCCCAATACTGTGGCCACCCAGGGAACCAAGCCTCCAACACATGGACCCCTGGGAGACACTCGATCATATATACTCATAGCAGATCTCAAGATAAAACCACACAGCTAAGCTGCTCCTGAAAGCCTGACCATCAGAAACTGAGAAACAATCATTGATAGTTGAAGTTTTAAACTATAAGTTCCAGGGTGATTTGTTATATACAAAATTTGATAACTAATACTGATGGGATTGATTCCTGATGACTTTGAGAGCCTGGATCCTACAACTAAAAGCATCATTAAGACTTCTTGGGCTGGGGTTGTGGCTCAGTGGTAGAGTACTTGCTTAGCATGTGTGAAGCACTGGGTTCGAGCCTCAGCACCACATAAAGATAAATATATAAAGGCATTATCCATCCACAACTAAAAAATGAAAAAATAAACCTATTTAAAAAAAAAAAAAAGACTTCTTGGTTATAGGGGTTGGGGCCGTTGCTCAGGGGTAGAGTACTTGCCTAGCATGTGCAAGGCAATCTGAAACACTGCAAAAAGAAGAAAAAAAAAAGGACTTCTCAGTTATAGGATCAAATAAAGCCAATTTCAATAGACTTCTGACCCTCAAAGGAGTCTTCACTAACACAAGGTAATTTATGGGAAGTGAAGATTGAATGTAGTCACTTACTAATTTTGCAAGAAGAAAGGCAGGCCATGGGAAATTTCTTGGAACAGAAAAGAGGAGGGTAGGAGAAACCTTTGATTTCAAAGGAAACATATTGAGGTGACAGCTGTTAAGTCCACATGATGAAAGCAGAACTATGAGATGTACAGGTGAGTTCATCAAAGTGAAAGTGCCTCTGACAGTTCTTGATAACACCTGAGTAGAGACCTTGCCCCTGGGCCTGACCCACATTGGCTCCTTCCTCCTAGGGAGAAGCCAGCTCTCCCTTGAAATGGAAGGGAACTTTTGAACCGGTCTGCACAATGAGAAGGAGTTTGCAGATAGGAAAGGGAGGGACATGCTTCCAGGTAGAGTGAGTGATACAACTGCAAAGAAGCCTGAATATAGCAGGTCAAATGAAGAATGTAGTGAGCTCAGGGAGCCTAGTAGGGAGTGTGAGATGAGGCTTGAGGTCCACTAGGACCGAAGGTAGACAATCATGGGGATTTGATCACCACTATTCCTTCTTCCTCTAGTCTCCCAGTTTCTTCCTTGCTTCCTACCTTTATTTATTTATTTTCATGTGGTGCTGAGGATCAGTCCTAGTGCCTCACACATGCTAGGCAAGCACTCTATTATTGAGCCACAACCACAGCCCTAGACTTACAGTTTCTAATGTGATCACTCTTCTCCAATTGTGTGGTGAAAGGGTAACTTCTAGTGATCATCTCCCACTATGGAAGCCTAATGGACCAGAAAAACTTCTCTCCCCCATACCAAATCCAGAGGAACTTAAACTCAGCCAATGGGTGCTCTCACTCTAGATTCTGGATCCAAGACAGTAAGAATTGGAGGACTGGCAGTGAGCAACCCGTGCCCTGATCATATTGTCCCTGCTACCTGGCATTAGTCAGGACGCTTTCCAAAGTAACTGGGATCTCAGGTATGTGCCACTACACCTTGCTGTTTTATTTTTAAGTGTAATGGGTAGTGTCTTAGCTTTCTATTGCTGTCTAACAAATTATCCCTAAATTTGGCAGCTTAAAATGACAAAAATGTATGTGTGAGTTTCTATGGGTCAGGAGCCAGGTACTGTTTAGCTTCCAAGTTCACTCACAAGCTTACATACTAGGGATGTTCAAATTAATTTCACACAAGAGTTCTAAAGCAAGCTGGGTGTCCTGGCTACTTAAGGGGCTAGGGTTGCAATTTGAGGCCAGCCTGGGCAACTTAGAAAGACACTGTCTCAAAATAAAATTAAAAAGGGGATTTGGGGATGTATTTCAGTGGTAGAATATATGCCTAACATGTGTGAGGCCCTAGGTTTGATCCCCAGCAACACACACAAAAGCAACAACCCTAAAACCAAAACAAATGAACAAACCAGAAAACCTTAAGAGCAGAGCCAAAATATGGGAAAGACAGAATTAATTGACACCATTTGATACCCAGGATCCAGAGACACTTGAAGTTAGAACCACGTCTGTACTTTTCACTTATTTGAATCGATGATTTCCCTTTTTGCCTAGGCCAATTTTAGTTACAACCTAAAGTCCTAACTGATGCAAGAGTTCAAACATTGTTACCAGGAAGTTCCTGAAACAAAACAAACCAAAACAAAAACCCCTCATCATGATGGGTTGTGTAAGTCAGTAGCTTAAAGGGTAAGAAAATAGTGACCTTAGGAGCAGGGTAGGGACAAATTGGATTCGAGTCAGGAAACCTTCCAATCCTATCTTGGCCAATGCCCCCCCGCATTGTGATGATGGATAAGGAACTCAAACTTTCTGAACCCTAATGTTTGGCTCAGATTCAGTTGTGCCCTTGTAAGTCACTGGGAGATATTTGGTTTTGTTTAATT